AAACTCAAGTCAACATGTATCACATATTTCAGATCTACCGGAAAAGTTTCAAGGCATTGGGGTTGAAGAAGAAAATTCTGATAGCAGTCGTCTTTGGTTCCTTAGTAATTATACTATCATTCTCAAACAACTTCAACAACCAAATTCTTGATGTTACAACCAATGGTAAGAAAATTATCCATTTCTTGTGTTTTGTAGTTAACTCAAAAGAATAATCCTCATTTTGATTTCATATTTCTTGTAATAGATATAAAGGAATCCGAAAGACCGGTGGATAAACTTATAGGAGGGCTTTTAACTGCGGATTTCGATGAAGGTTCTTGCTTGAGTAGGTATCATAAACATTTCTTGTACCGCAAGCCATCCCCGTATAAGCCTTCAGAATATCTCGTCTCTAAGCTTAGAAGCTATGAGATGCTTCACAGACGTTGCGGTCCAGATACAAAAGCTTACAAAGAAGCAACAGAGAAGCTTAGTCGCGATGAGTATTATGCAAGCGAAGCAAATGGTGAATGTAGATACATTGTTTGGGTCGCAGGTTACGGGCTTGGAAATAGATTACTTACTCTTGCTTCTGTGTTCCTCTACGCTCTCTTGACCGAGAGAATCATTCTTGTCGACAACCGCAAGGATGTTAGTGATCTCTTATGCGAGCCATTCCCAGGTACTTCATGGTTGCTTCCTCTTGACTTTCCAATGTTGAATTATACTTATGCTTGGGGCTACAATAAGGAATACCCTCGTTGTTACGGAACAATGGAGGAAAATCATTCCATCAACTCGACTTCAATCCCGCCCCATCTATACATGCATAACCTCCATGATTCAAGGGATAGTGATAAGTTGTTCATCTGCCAAAAGGATCAAAGTTTGATCAATAAAGTCCCTTGGTTGATTGTTCAAGCCAATGTTTACTTTGTTCCATCTTTATGGTTTAATCCAACTTTCCAAACCGAACTAGTTGAGCTATTCCCGCAGAAAGAAACCGTCTTTCACCATTTGGCCCGGTATCTTTTTCACCCGACAAATCAAGTTTGGGAGATGGTCACTAAGTACTACGATGCTCATTTATCCAAAGCAGACGAGAGACTTGGGATTCAAATACGGGTTTTCGGCAAACCTTCTGGACATTTCAAACATGTCATGGACCAAGTCGTATCATGTACACAAAGGGAGAAACTGTTGCCTGAATTTGCTACACAAGAAGAATCAAAAGTCAACATATCGAAAACCCCGAAACTTAAAGCTGTTCTTGTGGCATCTCTCTATCCAGAGTACTCTAGCAACTTAACGAACATGTTTTCGACGCGACCAAGTTCAACAGGAGAAATTGTTGAAGTTTATCAGCCAAGTGGAGAAAGAGTTCAGCAAACAGACAAGAAGATTCACGACCAAAAGGCGCTTGCTGAAATGTATCTTTTGAGCTTAACCGATAACATTGTCACAAGCGCAAGGTCTACATTTGGATATGTTTCATATAGTCTTGGAGGTTTAAAGCCATGGTTACTTTATCAGCCAACAAATTTCACAACTCCTAATCCGCCGTGTGTTCGATCCAAGTCGATGGAGCCATGTTACCTTACTCCTCCGTCTCATGGATGTGAAGCTGACTCGGGAAAAAACTCGGGGAAGATTCTTCCTTTTGTTAGGCATTGTGAGGATATTATGTATGGGGGGCTTAAGCTATATGATGAATTTTAGTTCTTGTTTATACATCTCATTTCATTGGATTATTGAGTTTTAAAATCAAAGGAGAAATGCTATCTTTGTTTACAATTTACACATGTATCCTCTGTTTTAATATGTTATTGCACAGACGCATTTAGTTGTTTAAAACGTTTATTACTTGTGTATGGTGTATAATAATAACTAGTTGTGTATAGTAGCAATTTACATTTACTTGATAACTTAAAATAATTAAGGCTCTACTTTAGTTTATATCCTCGTGAGGTTTTATGGAGGTTACTTTATGTGTCTAGAGGAAAAAGTATAAGTTGGAAAATACAGAGAACACTAACACAACGAGAAAATGGCTTTTTCTTGCGTCATAAGAAATGTATTTTCGATTCTTCCTCTTCTCGTTATTCTATCAATAATCACCCCTTTGTCTTCATCTTTTTCTATAAATGACAAAATCACAAAAGAATTAATCAACCAACTCTGCTCACAACCGACAATTTACAACCATTTCTGTGTCGCTTGGGTAACCTCTGTCGCAAAAACATTCAACCTTGACCTGCAAGGTCTTGTCTATCTGCTCTATCAAAAGACGGAATTGTTGGGCTCTAAGAACCTAGAGATGATTAAAGACTTAGAGAGAACCGAGACTGATCCGAAGCTCAAGATTCCATATGGGTCTTGCGTGAAAGAATATGAGTTATCCAATAGAGCAATCGAGGAAGCTAAAGAGTTTGCGAGCGCGAACTCGAAGGCGTACTTGTTAGCATCTAAGGCGGCTTCTAGAGCCTTCGATAGTATATCTATGTGCGAAGCTTATCTTGAAGGACTCAAAATGCCTGATCATGTCTCGACACGCAATTTGTGGTTTGAAAGAATGTGTAACATTGACAAAATTTTCTCCGACCTTTTAATTTGATTCTGTGTTTTTATTTACATGTATGATGTGATAAAAACTATGAAATGTCATCAACTTTGGTGTAATAACTTTAAACTAATAAATTCATAAAGTCATATGGCCCTGTTCGTTTACCAGTTGCTGGCGACTAGCAACTGCGACTGTGATCAGCGACTTCTTTTGTTGTTCGCAGCGACTGCTTATAAAATTTAATTTTTAAATAATTTATTTATTTTAAGTTAAATTATAAAATTTTAAATTAATTTTATTTTATTAAATTTAATTTAATCTAGTTTTAGTTTAATTTAAAACAATGTAATTAAATTGATTTCATTTTATTATTATTTAATTTATTTTTTGTATTTTTATTTTGTTTTACTTTATTTTATTTTATTTTATTTTAAATTAAATTAATTTTATGTAAATATTTATTTATTTTATTTTGTAGTCGCTATGTTGTTCGTTTCGCAGTCGCTGGTGACCAGCGACCAGTCGCTAGTGGTCGCTTAAAATTTTAGCGACTGAAAATTTAAATCGGAGATCGCTGCGACCAGTCGCTACGATTGGTCGCTGAATTTAGTGACTGTCAAATGAACAGTCGCTGGTCGCTAGCGACTGCCAAACGAATAATTAAATTACTTCGTCTTCCAACTTCACCATGAATGGATATGCTTTCATCTCTCATTACCTCTGATGTACCAAAACCCATCAAAAGTTATTATGGAATGCATATCAATCTACCTAAGGAAGAAAACCAAGAAAGTAGTTAGAAGAATAATTATATAACTTTCTCATCACTATTTCTACGTATAGCCTAGTTTCTCTCTTTAATATTAGGACTTGTGCATGATCTCACTAAGAATCAGAAAAATCAACCATTCTGTCAAAGAACTACTATAATTCATAGGCTGAAACGTTGTTTAGATTTTGAAAATCTCTCTTTATATGTATCTATCAGCTGCTGATAAATGGCAAAAATGAGCAAATCACTTTAGGGGGGGATGCTACTTCCACCCGGACGACAAACCGGGTGGAAGTGCGCAACTAAATCTGTAAGGGATCATATAAGCACAAAAACGCTTCAACAAAAATGTCTATTCAGAATCCGAACGGAACAAGATACCTTCACCGGCTGTGGTTTAAAAAAAAACGGACGACCAGCAAAACAGCTTCCCAATGAGCTTAACGCGGAGTTTGCATAAATTGAGGTAAGATGTGAACCAAGTAAGAGAGATCCGGACGTGTTGTCAAGAGATAGATAAGACGCCCTACTAGACGACGATAGCTGGGAGGCTGTGTAAGAAAGGGGCTCGTGTCCACGGCGAGACAATGGTTTTCGATAGGAAATATGCACGTTTTTGATCCAAATAAACCAGCCTCAGCAACAATATCCAAGATATATTTCCGTTGGGAGAGGAAAATGCCTTCATCATTACGAGCTACCTCAAGACCAAGAAAATACTTCAATGTCCCGAGATTTTTCATACGAAAACAGTAACACAAATGATCTTTAAAACATGCCAAAGTAGAATTTTTGCCACAAATTAACAAAGCATCCATGTATAGACCATCACATGAAGCTCCACCTCTCCCCCGAGTATATGAAAACAACGACTAGTCAGAAGGCGATTGAAGAAAACCTAATTGCGTAAGCGCCTCTTTGAACTTAGCAAACCAACAATGAAGAGCTTGCTTAAGACCGTATAAAGATTTGTGTAACTAGCACACATTATATTCAGATTTGAATGGCGAAAACCTGAAGTCATCAAGATCATAAGAAAAGCATTGTGCACGTCCATTTGGTGTACTTCCCACTTCTTAATTAACCGCAACAATTTTCAATAAACCTTGAACCATTGTCAATTAACCAGCGGAGCAAAGGTCTCGTTAAAATCATCCCCTTCCACTTAATGATTGCCAAGTAATACTAAGTGACTTTTATAACGTTAAATAGTACCATCGATATTGTACTTTATTTTAAAATTTAAACACTCATTTTTGTTTATCAAAAAGCTTCCTTTCCTTGTGGCAAATCAACAATACTTCACGTTTTCTTTAATTCCAAAGCATCAACCTCGCTTGTCATTGCACCACCCAAGGACTCAGCATGTCATCAGCACCAAAAGTCATGTGCGATCTTATATACAATGGGGGTTGAAAGATCACGGATTTACCTCACAAAAATTAATCCTGAAATCGCTAGAACGAAGAACACGAAAATCCACACATTTTTCTTTGAGTATGTTGTTAGGCCTTTGCATTTCTCACTAATTACAGATTTGACTTCCAATTTCAATTGATCAGAGATTCCCTTAAACTTCACCAAATTAAATCCTAACTTTTTGAATCCATCGGTATATAACCTAAAACATTTATTTTATTTTTTCATAAGTTTTGGGTACTGTTACAAATATTACACTGTCTAACTGCCCCACTTATTTTATTACCAAAGGAATTTTTATTTTTCTAGTAGACAGTTTTCTTCTACATTATAATAGATATGAAAATCACTCGAATTCTTTTTCTTTATTATCACACCAGTCACATCCTAAAAGATATTAAGCATTGGATGGGGCCGGGCTGCCAGAGCCGCCGGATCCCCAACCCCATCCCCAAGATCCCCAAGGGGAGCTAGAACCGCCAGAGTTTGAACCGCCAGAGTTTGAATCGCCAGTGTTTGAACCAGGACCTGAGGTAGAGGTGCTAGAGCCGTCAGATCCCCATCCCCAACCGTTGCCGTTACTCGAACTCCAGCTCCACGCCTCAGCACAAGAAGAGGAGAGACATGCAATGGCTAGAACAAGTAGGAAAACCTTCTTTTGTGAACCAGAGAGAGCCATCGTTTTTCTTCTTCTTATGTGTTTTGTTTAACTATAGAACAAAGAGATTTGTGAATTTGCTTTGTTTCAAAATGGGTATTTATAGAAGAAATGGGTGGCTCATAGACGTGTGTTTAACCCATCTAATTAGGAAACGGAATTTGTTTTGACCAAGGGTTTCGTTTTTCCATATTTTAGTCTCCCCTTTATTTTTTTAATATCCAAGTTTTATAATGAAAAGGTTTTTTTTTTTTTTTTTTGGTTACAGAAAATTTGTTATGTTCATTTCAATATAATAATCGGAAAATAATTAATAAACTTTGGTAATATACCGGTCAAAGATAAGTAAATAACTGAGGATATTGTAAGGATTTTATAACTTATTTAGTTGGATTCTCTACTTAAATAGGAATATGTTATATATACAGTATTTGTAGCAAAACAGTATTTGGCTAAAGACAGCATGACAAACAAATGATAAGCAAAAAGTAGTTGTTCTTGGTAGGGAATTTAGTTTTACTCATTGGTCTTCGTTTTATTTCTTCTTCCGCACGTAAACTTTGTATAACACAGCTTCCACATTTATTCAACGTTTTCTCCTGGTTTTTATAGGATGTTTTTTTTTTTTTTTTGGTTCTTATTCACTCTACAAATGACAAGATTTTATCAAACCGGGGATTTGTAATCAACAATATTTCCAGTGTTCAGAATTCCACATGAAAACGTTATATTTTCCAAAATTGTTAAAAGTTATTTACTTAATATTTATATGGAATCAACAATATTAAAATTTTTTAATAAAACAATAAGAGAAAGGAATTTTAAAGTTTTGTAATTTAACATGGACATTTTTCTCTTTCCATATCTCAATTTAGAAATAAATCTAAATGAAATTTTCAATTTTAATAAATTAAAAATCAATATATCCATAATCCACCGTCACTTTACAGTTTACACCCTTAAAAATAAGAGACTTAAATCTCTAAAGAATCACCTTTTTTTTTTTTATTAACACTCTAGAGTTACTTGATGTCGACGCCTCCAAGAAAAAAGAGCGAAGAAAGATCTTCGCGGAACCGCAAATGCAACCACCGTCATAAATTTTTTCTTGTTCTTCTTCTTCTGCCGCTGATAACTTGTCTTCTCCCTTCACAAAACTTTACCTTTTACCCCCAGACAAAACCTTACCTTTTACCGCCAGGTTATAAGTTGGGACCAAGCGACAAATAACTCATTATGCTACTTGAAACCCTTCTCACCAGAGAGAAAAAATTACGCATCATTTAATGTTCCTAATCATCATTTAATAATGTTCCTAATCATCACGTCAATATCTACAAGTCCAATCTAGAACAACTTCCAGGTTTGTCCTCGTCGATACCTTTCTTAGTTATTTAGGTTTATATATTCATGTATTTATATATATATATATATATATTTGTTTTCTGAAATAGTGTAATTCGAGAAGGGTAATGAGGAAACATGTTTCATTATAACGGAGATGACCAAGATGGGTAAGGTGGAAAAAAAAAACAGAAAGGTGGCGACAATGGAAGATACTGGAACGCAACATTGGGAGCCAAGAAGATTAATGCTGGAGAAGGCGTCGTCGGCTACAAAACTTCATTAGAATACTACGTAAGGAAACAACCAAACGGCGTAAAAATGGATTGGTTATTTCATGAATTGTTTTAGTCTCTTGGTGATAACCGGGAGGTATTTATATGTTTCTTAGGTTCCAAGTTATTATGATTGTGACTCGGATTTTATTTTTGATTTTTGTTTTGGTCGGTGTGTGTAGGTAGATTATGATTTTTACAAGATTTATCTGACCCCAAAGGCAGCAAAAAAGAAGAAAGCAAAGGAGAAATACAATGAGAAGTTGAAGAAAGAAGTTGTATTAAAAGAGGAGGCTGAGCAGCACAACAACATCAATTGTGCATGAGAGAGTTTTTAATGGGAGGGTAGAGCGGTTTGCTAATTCAATAAAATCACAAAGCACAACAACATCAATTGTTGATTGGCTAAGGAAGCTTTGCCAAGTAATGATAGATCAATCGATTCAACACCATTTTTGATGGCTTTATGAATTTGATTATTATAAGGCAGTAGTCAATTTGGCCTAATTCAACTAAGGCATGAAATACAATCAAAGATAGAGAACAAGAAAAAATCCCGTAAATAGAATAACATATAAGAGTGTTCTATAAAATCCAAACCGATCGGTATAAGAGTGTAACCAATCGGTTTCATACGTCTTCACTACCGACCGGTGCAAGAGTGTAACCGATCAGTCTGTCATCGTCTTCAATCTTTTGTCCACTTAGACGCATTTTGCTCCATTTCCTCTCCTAAACTCCTCATTTTACTCAAACACTTCCAAAAAACTTAAGAAACAAAAAAATCAAAAGCATCGAAAACTAACTTGTTCACGACAAAAAAAAAAACTCAAGACTCGATACTAGAACGACTCTTAAAAACCGTATATATTATGACTTAACAAACATGTAATTCATATTTAAAATTGAGTAATAAATTTTATTAGTTACATTTTTTGGTTAATCTATTTATAAGAATTTTATAAATATATTTTTGTGCAGCATTAAAGTTTAAGGTGAATAAGAAGTCAAAATTAAAATAAATATATAAGATCAATGTACAAGAAAATTCCTAAAATAATAAAACAATACTTAAAATTTGTTTTAGTACCATTTTTGGGGACAATGAGGTTGCTAGCACAATACTTCAAATAGTAAAACATCATTTGCCCCAACTGTCTTTCTTACGAAATTATAACAGATAACAGTTTGCAATTCATCTTGCGAAAATTCGAGGGATCTTGAAGGAAATAGAATATCTGCCTCAGCAAGTGTTGGAATTGTGAATCCTTGATTAAATCCTGCAAGAAGAAAAGCTTCAAGTGAGAAGAGGTGATGAGCATAACAGAAGAAGCAATGCGTAGAAGGAAGATGAAGTTGTAGGAAGAAGTCAACGACAACAAGACAAAAGCAAAGTCAACATAAGGAGATGTTGGGCTTTGTGGTTTTGTAATAATGGAACCATTGGGCTAAAGGATTAAATTAGGCCCAATGAGTAAATGTGTTATGTTAGTCTATGTCTTAGTTAAGTTCTAAGTCGAGTTGTGTAAGAGTTGTTAGAGTCCCAATGAGTAGTGTGGTTACACAAAAGTAGTGAAGCTTGTGTAAGAACCTAGAACCTAGTATGGTGTAGTGTAAGAGTCATGATTAGGTCTAAGTGCAAGTGTGCAAGTGTGATACAAGTGGAGAAACTAGTATATGTATGTGTGTGTTGTGTTTTAAGAAAGCATCGAAGCAATTATCAATGTAGAAGATTAAAGCAAAATGGTTTTTGTTCTTTCTCTCTCAAGACAATGAAACCGTAAATGAGTGTGAGTAATAGAGAGAATGTGAGAATTACAACAGCAAGTCAACCCTAAAATATTCTCAAGGGAAATGGAATATCCGTCGAATATAAGTTAGTTATAAATGAACTAAAAACGCATTGATTCCGGAAATGGAAAGTGAACTCCATGGAGTCCTTTAGGGTTATCGAACGACTACCCATAGGGCCATTAACCATACTCCAGTCTCGTTAGCATATAAAATAGAAGCGGTAATCTCAGCAGAAACCATAGTCCATAGTTTAAATTGGACTTAATTTAAACTATGAATTTTGCAGATCAACTAATCAAGTTTCTTGATCGCTTGATTCGCAACAAAATATCATCCATCCGTCTCTTGAACCCCGCCAAGCTCGAAGATGGACTTCGTCTATGGTTCGATTCCAGGAACTAGACTTCTAAATTATTCTGTTGATTTCTTTCAAAACAATATTTGATTTAAGGTTGCATTTATTGTACAAAGGACTTTTTTTGGGTTGAATAAATTTTACATTCATTCAAAAAAAAAAAAAACTATGAATTTTGCTCCTTGATAATCTTTTTTTTTTCAATGCCAACATCATGCCACCCGATATTACAATTCCTAAGTTAATTAGAGTAAGAAGATTCAGCGTTGGAGATCAACGAAAGGTAGATGATAATAGCAGAGAACATATCGCCATAAAATTAGGCATTAATTGGGAAGGTTGAGATCGGATAATTAAAGTGGTGTGAAAACACATTACAAACTTGAAAACATGGAACGAGCACCAGAAAAAGGCTTATAGAACGCCATATATAAACTTAAAAATAAATTTACTGTTGCGTGCGACAATAATCGAAATACGTAAAGACTTGTTTCTTTTGCCGGATATATAGGCTATCAATTGTGTTTATCATATTTCAAGCCTCCACAAAAAAAGCCATCAACAGAGTGTTGAAGTGGCGTAGATAAAGTGAACCAAAGTGTTAAAAATTATGATGATCGTTAATGAGATGTGCATTTTGCAAGACTTGTTAGGACATTTAAATAAAATAATAAGCTACATGTGGAAAACAATAAAACAATATTTTCAAAACGTAATATGAAAATATTATCATTTATTTATTTTTATCAAAAATCAAAATTGAAAATCACAATATTCAAATACTTCCATACAAGAAAACATCACGAAACGAAATCCTGTGATATTTTTATACCGAAAATTTGGTATGAAACATTTCTTACCTTAAACCTAAAAACTTTTATTCAGAAACCTTTCCTACCTTTTATTATATATTCCCTACCCATGGGTTCAACGTATCCGTGACTAGTGTTAAGACCCATGCCTTGCACGGGATTAATTTATTATGTTTGTTAACAATTAGTTGATATTATATCTATATATATAAATTATGTATAAATAAAAAATAAAATTAAAATTTTAACATATAACACTTCATTTATTTTTCATAATATTGGAAAGAAGAAGTGAAGATCCGGAAGCAATTTCGGTAGACTTATAAGGGCATATGCAACGTGAGATCTTTGAAGTTTGATCTTAGATTGAAAATATTATTAAAATATTATAAGAGCTTTAGTTAAGATCTTTTGTAGAGTAATTGATTAAGGGTAGAACATGTTTAGATCTTAAGAAATAATAATTTAATAATCAAAAACTTTAAATGTTATTTA